GATACTAGGAGTATTGTATAGGAGTATTAATATAATGTTGAGCCGATGGGCCCTTGGGGCCCTGAAGCAAAGATTATTTTATCAGAAATCTCCAAACGCTTGAAGGACGCTACACGTGATGCTAAGGCTGGCTGGTACTTTGCACAGAGAGTGAGTCTGACTCTCCAACGGAGTAACATGGCCAGTATCTTGCCAACTCTGCCTCTTTCAAGCACATTGGAAGATTTGTTCTACTGTGTGAATTGATTTATGTTAAATTATCTTGATTTGTTATTTATTATGTGATTTAATGCCAACCACACGGCGCCGTGAAGGATTTGGGAAACGAACACACGGTGCCGGGGCTTGTGTTTTTGTTATGCATTGTTATTTTGTTATGTTTTTTTTGTTATATTGTTATGTTTTTTTTATGCAGCAGTATGTACCGTTTCCACCGTTGTGTTGATAACATTATGTGACGCATATGGACATATGTGTAAAGTAGCGATCTTATAAGATCAAGTGTTAGATTAGGGTTCGTGCTATTCATCTAGTATATCAATAATCAATGCACGCACCACGGCGCCCTGAGTCCGGACCCTCGATCCTCCACGGCGCCGTGTGTTCGGCATTGAATGCGTTAATAAATACAATCCTACTCCTCCGTGCGTCATATTCCTCAGTGCTGAGGGTCGTGACCTTTACGGAGCACTTTTGTTAGGACTATGTTCCTCCATTCACTCCTGTCCTCCGCGCAGTGGATAGCGACATTGATGCTGGATTCGAAAGTCGTCTTAATCTGATCGGACCAGCGCATGGGACTACGCCCCCTAGGTCTCTTTCCTTCCACTTTGCCGGTGACGAGAAGTCTTTCGAGATTGTCACCCTTTTAATACAATAATAGAAAAAAAGATACCAGGCACATTCAATGATACTCAGAAAAAAACACGCAAAGTTATCTTCTAAAACTAACAACGAAATCTAGACCCAAAAATCCGATGACTGTGAGCGTGAAACTGTCTATTTGTGTATAATTAATACCGGACCAGTTTTCGAACGACCAGTATTTTTGTAGAAGCAGGTCCGCAGTGAAAACGAGGAAGCTGTCGGTATGTAGTGCTTAAGGTCAATGCAGCCGTTCCGAGTTACTGCGTCCGCTCATCCATCTAGAAAACGACACACATTCAATAAATTGCAATTACAATATTATTTGTTGCCGTGCTGATTGGTACAACTGGCTTTCCGGCTACGCTATAATTATAATAGCACAAGCCGTACTCGCCCGCTTCGCTGGGCATTTAAAATTATCATTATCATTTATTGTCATTATTATTAGGGAGTCCAACACTCATATAAATATTAGCCTACCCATTAAGTACATGTGTTTTCTACATGGATACCAAGTTTCAAGTCAAACGGATGCATGGTTCAGTAGTTATAACGGAACATCCGTAAAAATCACTTTAGATTTATATATTAGTATAGATATAGTATATAGCTCACAGCACAACAATATCGCGCACCATACATTGCTATGGACACGTTCACACTGTAATGTGCTATATATTATTGGCTTAGTATACGCTGCTATACTATATGGCACTATAGTATAGCGTAGTCTGAAAGCAGCTTTACCAAACGTTCCTAAATTATAATTAAAGCTATTTTTACGGTTTAATTTCGAGTATTGTTACTAAAGTTATATTATTTCGCGACAGAAATAAGCCGAGCAGTTAAACACTTGCCATAATACAATACTCTTTACCACCAAGAAGCGCGGCTTGACTACGCAAAACCCTGGCGAACTCTCGCAGCTTTTAACGAAGAGAGAAGAGAGAGTTTTGTTCTAAGCTGACACCACACTGTCAAAGCATATATTATAGTGTTTAATGTAACAGATACACGAAAAAGAAAACATTGTGATCCAATATCAATTTTAGGACGTAAATAAAACTAAAAGATAACATAAAAGTGCAGGACGTAATTAAAAACTAAGGCTTGACACCAGAGAAATCGAATATAGCGTGTGGCGTTTTAATTGAACTACCTTATTTGATGCTGACCTTGAAGATTAAGATATTATTGGGGCTCAACATAAAACGCTGGCTGGTAAGAGGTTTAGGCTCCGAATATACTTCAAAAGCCAATTACTGGCATATTATTTTTGTCCACATTTAGGTTTTTTTATGTTTATTGCTAAGATAGGTAGATGAGATCACGGCCCATCCGGTGTTAAGTAGTCATTAGAGCCCATAGACATCAACAACGTAAAAACTGCCACCCACCTTGAGACATCAGTTCTAAGTCTCAGTACAACGACTGCACGATCCTTCAAACCGAAAAGCATTAATGCTTCACACAAGACGCCTACAAGTAAAAATGGTGAGCGTGCAACTTGGTGCCCGTGGAAGAAGTGAAACTTCTGACACGTGTGTAGTATTGTAGTTTTTTTCATTTTTCATTCTTAAATTAAATTTCTCTTGTAATAGTTGTGTATAAGAGAAACGACCTAGCTCGCTTTGTCATTTCCCTCTCTCCACGGTCGAGTGTTTCGCTAGACGCTCTGTCTATTTTCTCACACTCGTTCTTCCTAAATTGTATCTTTTCTCTCTAGCCCTAATGAATTTGAGATAAGTTTTACTTTCAACACACCTAAAGAAGTTTCACTTCTAAAAGTTTTAGCTTTAGCTCATCCGCATTGAGGGTAAATGCGTAACAAAATCAACTTTCAAGTACTGAGATTTTTTAATTTTAAAACAGGACTGTGTTGGGCAGTACAGTAGGTACTTTAGTAATGATTGCAAGTGCTACATCTTGATGTCGACAAAAGGAAGCGGTGAGCGGTTTTTTCGCCGGAACAACGACCACACAAGTCAACGGAGCTCGAATGTCGACTTTCGATTACTTTTATGTAACCAAATAATACGTATTAAGAATCAGAAGAAAAACAGATCGACTTAAAGCACATACACTGACCTAACCAGCGAACTAACCCATAGACACAGTCCATTGCGTTTCTCGCTGGAGCTTCTCAGTGGGTCGCGTTTCCGATCCGGTGGTAGATTCAGCGACGCACTGCTCTTGTTAGGGCTAGTGTTAGCAAATTCTCTCAGATTGTGAGAGCTTGATAGAATCCGCGTCGGGTCCGCGCGTAGCTGGAATAGCCCCTTAACAGCGAATAGGTAGGGAAATAAACAATGATCATTAAAACTTTGCGCACGTAACCCTAGTTGGAGTACTTGAATTTTTTTAAGACGTACTTACCCTTCGCAATTAGCGAGCGGTTCTCAACTATTAGTAAAACTCTTAGTAAAATCAAGTTGATATAAACACTAATGGTTCATCATTTTAATCGCACTGCTTGGCTCACAAACAGTATACGAAACACTGCAATAAGCCAAGATCACTACGTTCACGATTGACTTCCACGATGAAAGAATAACATTGTGCAATTAAAATCGAACCCACAAAATTATAATTTGCCTAATTACTGGTAGTGGTAGGACCTCTTGTGAGTCCGCACGGGTAGGTACCACCGCCCTATCTATTTTTGCCGTGAAGCAGTAATCCGTTTCAATTTGAAGGGTGGGGCCGTTGTAACTATATTGAGACCTTAGAACTCATATCTCAAGATGGGTGGCGACATTTACGTTGTAGATGTCTATGGGCTCCGGTAACCACCTAACACCAAAAATAAAAATAAAAAAAAGGATGATACAACATACGCTTTGAGAATTCTACATATTTCATCATTTTTTATTTGAAGTGGCTTGAAAAGAACAGATTGTATTGATTGTCATTTAGTAAATAATGTTGGAAATTATTTCCGAGGACGCGTGACTTCCTATCGTACCGATTATAATATGATTAGGCGTACTGAACGATCAAACAATAATTGATAAAAATATTCTTCGTCTTGCCACGAGCGTCGCATCGATAATTCCCTAATCGATTTTCCTTATCAACGTTTCTAATGAAATAAACTTAACCGCGATATCGACTCGCGTTCTCTACGATCGCTCGTTAGAATTCAATAAAATAAATTTATTATTTAGTTAACTTAAACATTCTTTGACCTTTTTTTTATTGCCCTTGTTGGCAGACGAGCATACGGCCCACCTGATGGTGAGTGGCTACCGTCGCCCATGGACTTCAGCAATGCCAGGGGCAGAGCCAAGCCGCTGCCTACCGATCTGAAAACGTTATGATCCAAGATAGAATTATTTCGGAACTCACAATAAAAATCGGGTTTATTTACACGTCCAGGAGAAGCTGAAATAGCCTCTGAAGGCTATCAGCATAGGTAGGAAAAAAAGGCATGTCTTTGAAAAGGAAAAGAAATCGTGAAAAGGCTGGTCGTTGTTAAGAGGGCAAGAGAGTGCCAGAACTCTCTTCGACCACATGCAGAGGCGGCTTTGCCTATGGTGCAGAATATGGGTGCAGCGTTGTCACGGGGCGCGTGCTTAGACACTATCAAGGATTTTGTTACATTTGTATCTTTATCATTTTGAAGGCGAGCTTACTGGAGGTGCTAGGGTAATTATTGCACACGGGGTCTAAGTGTGCTAGAAACATCTATGGTCAGATGATGTCAATCTAAATGTGGATCTTTTGATTATAACCGCGATCCCAAAATATAAAAGACTGACCGTAGAGAGAGTATTAAAATTGATAAATAGGTGTTTTAGACGCATAATCATTAAAAAATATAGCCTATTTTGTATGAACAAAAACATCATTTACACACAACTTAACAAGGTGTATAAATAATTACTAGTGCTAAAATACAAATAACTTTAATCTTCTTATTTTATTATTAATAAGTAATTAGAATTTTCATTTTAATTAACGAATTTATTCTACCAAAATAAGTAAATTTTATTTTAGTTTCAGAAATATCAAACAATTGAGATAGGTATGTATCACCACGATTTCCCTCCAAAAATTGACAGCTACAAACAAATCGATTAATAATTCGTTCATTTTCGTTCAGTTAAATCAGTACAATAGTAACCGCGCTATGAGATGGACGCGCGTGCTGAGTGAACGAATCGGATATAATATTTCGACTCGAGTTTAGTGATTCTCGCAATCACTATGAGCGAATACATTCATAGATAAAAAATCTTTATCATTATATTTGTTATTTTGCACATAGTGAATGGACTTAGTGAGGTGTGTTGTTATCGAGTGCTTTGTTTTTTTTTTTTCGGATTGCATTCGTTTTGTTTCCAGGTATGTATGTCTTCGATTGTTTTTTATGAGAAATGTTTAAATTAACGTTGTGTATTAAAAATTGTGTTTGTATTTAATTGCGTTGTTTAATTAAAGCGACACTAGTTTGGTAAATGTACAAAAAAAATATATATATATTAAAAAGATAACGTGTCCACTAATAAACTAGGAAACAGTAAAAATACATTTTGATATAAAATTTTGTAGGCGAATATAAATTACTGAATATGCTTTGTTATAATACGATTTTTTTAAGTTAAGCCATTTTTGAAATGACTAATACTTTCAAACTTAATTTTTTATCGCTTTCAACGTCAGACGAGTATTTGGCGCTCCTGATGGTAAATAGTTATCATCACTCACGGCTCTCAATTCAATTAGGAGAACATCCAAACCACTGCCTACTGACTGACTGACCGAGGATTAGTGCAAAAGACTTATTTCATCAGTAAATATCCATCCAAACATAATCTGAAGGATTGACTATCCTACAAATTGAATCGCCCTGAATCTTTATACATGAAGTCTAAGCACCAATTCGAATATATCAATAAACGACCTTTTGACCTTGGACAGTTGTAACGTAGGTATGACTGCTAAACGGCAGATACAGATAGGATGGCGGTGCTAACCCGTCCAGGCTTGAAAAACGTCACCAATAAACACATGCAGATTATTATAATTTTTACACATTTGTAACCTCCATAATATGATTTATGACATAAAGAGGTTATTATGTTATATAGGTGACGTAAATGTTAATTTCAATATTGAAACATTAGAAGAAGGAACATAAGAAATATAAAAACATTTTTGAATTACAAAATATAAAAAACACAAAAACTGGTGAAGCAATAGCTTTAAATGTTGTTTCTCTTTATCGAACAACTCAGTTTGTGCTTATAGTTTTACTAGGCTAAGCTTTATTTTAATGTAAATAAAATAATACATTATACATTTATAACTAATAATTTACTCGGCTTACATATTATGGACACTCAATAAAGTAATATTTATAACTTTAATTGGAGATTAAACAGTGCTTATAAAATTTATAATGTAAAATAATTTATCTATGCACCCATTCCGTAAAATAGTCATAGTCATACTGTGACTCACTTGTCATTCAATAATATAATAATCATTCATGTTGTGAATCAAAAACATCATAGTTGTTATTATACAAACCACTGCATAGAAATAGGTTTTGTTATAGCTTTAGCTATGTTTGTTTTTTAATAAGAAAGGTTATGTTTCCGTCGCGAATATTTTTAAAATTTTCATATATTACAAAGTTTTTTTTATTATTATCAATTTTATTGTCTTTAATCAGATAGTATTCGGAAACAATTTGATCGTGTCTCGTCTCTTCATATTTCTAACTTAAAACATTCTTCTAATTAATATCTAAATTATCTAAAGTGATTTATTGGTACAATAAATGTAAACTAGTTTTTATACACGATACAATTTAATAGACGGTTTGTTGAACAAGCCTTTTATGTATGTATGATTGCCCTAAACACGTAAATACGGATCCTCCCGATCCATTAACGGTGCTTTTAGGTACTTCAAGCACCGATCACCGTCTCCGCCGAACCCGTCGCTTGCGACGAGGGACTCGACGAGTAAATTAACCCATAGACACAGCCCACTCGACGAGTAAATTAACCCATAGACACAGCCCACTGAGTTTCTCGCCGAATCTTCTCAGTAGGTCGCGTTTCCGATCCGGAGGTAGATTATGCGAAGCATTGCCCTTCCTAGGACCAGTCTTAGCAACACTCTGGCTTGAGACCCGTGAGCTCACCTACATGTCAAGGTAGCTGAAACCGAAACACCCTCTCAAGGCTATCAGCATAGATAGGAAAAAAATGGCATGATAACGTGTATGTAAAATGCGCAAGCCTAACAAACAAAGTCGAGTATAATATACCTGTAGTATAATGTCGAGAACATTTTGTGTTTTGTGTTGGAACTATTTGAGTAAAACACTAATAATTTATTCTTCATTGGTTTTAGCCGCAACAACAAATTGAAGTATTCGAAATCATGTTAACACTTATATAACACTTACAATTATTTCCCAATTTTACAGATGCGAAAGAGTAGGTATTTTTATTTTTATTGATATATACATGAGCAGACGAGCACACGAACTACACGATATTAGTTACGACACTATATTAGCGAAGCCCATAGACAGGGACGTCTTAAACTAGGATGGGGCCCTTGGGCACACAAGAATTTGAGGCCCTTTTGGAAAGTAAAAAAGCGAATTATAATAAAAAAAAATTACTGAGTATGACCATTTATTGTAGGTAATCAAATACAGTATGATATAATATGTCATTAATGATATTAGAATGCTGCTGGTTTTTGGTTACGATTTCGATAACGGTTTCTTTCGGGATGTCTGTTGAGCAAAATCTTCTATTATAGGCATAGTATATGCCTTGTAAATACCTTCTGATTACTGATTTGTGAAAAAAGTGTAATGTGCCCGACAAAAATGTTTTGAGAATAAGCGTGTGAGAGAAATTGTCGGTCTTTCGGGGCCCCCTGAGAATGGGGGCCCTGGGCACGGGCCCCGTGTGCCCTTATGGTAAAGACGGTATTGCCCATAGACATATCACCATCAGACATGAAGTTAATCTCAATAGTTCTATCGTCAATAATATAACATGTGTAAAACTAGGAAGACTGTGAGCTAAATAATAAAACACGTATTAAATTATTTACGTAATTTATTTTCTATTATTTTGTATTTTAAGTTTTGCTGTTCCAATATCCAAAGTTTTTTTTTTTATCGCCCAAGTTCTGGACGTTGGGAGTGTTAAGGGTTCAATATTATTGAATTAAATTAGTGAGATCGGATCGATGAGACAAAGGCAATTTAAGTCTTACTTACTAAACAGAATTGAGAATTCATCTCATTTCTTTTTCTCCACCTTAACCCACTAGGTGGGGTCGGCACAGCTGATTTTTCCCTTCCATTCTCTTCTATCAGCCGTCATCTCAACGCTCACTCCTCTCTCTCTCTTTCATATCGTTATTCACACACTTCATCCATGTCTTCTTCGGTCGACCTCTTCCCCCTCTACCTTGCACTACCATTTCCATACATCTTCTAGTCACATGCATCTTCTCTCTGCGCATCACATGCCCATACCACGCTGTCCCCCGAAATGTGCAATTTCGATCGAAATATCGACAATAATAATCACGAAACACTTATAAACTTTCTACATATCGTAACATATGTATTTACTTTATTTTATTCCAAAACTTTACGAAGATTTTTACTTTCTAAAAATTCTTCACGGTACCGTCGTTTGGCGGAGCAATTCGATATTCGCGTGTCCACGTCGAATGTTATTACGACGGTGTTAAATAACACGTGTATAATGTTGCCGCAATCCGTGAAAAGAAAAAATAAAGCACTTCATAGATCTTTAACACAAATGTAAGCCACGTTCTTCCTCAAAGAGGCTTGTGGAGAGTATAAAACGGTAGGCCACGGCTTTGCCCCTGGCGTTGCTGTGGTTCACGATGGTAACCATTTAACGATAGGCGGGCCGCATGCTCGTCTGCCTACAAGTGCTATAAAAAAATTTGATTTCTGTCACTTTCTTGATACCTTGAAAAGAAAACACGAAAAGGACCAACCAATGCAGATCTGACTCTACATACCTATATATTATATACATAAGTCGAAATCGACAATGTCCTCCTCCAATAGTGAGCAGTGACTTTTAGCATTGCATTTTAAATAATATAAATTTAGAAGTAAACAATTTATGTTTAAGATTTATTTATTCACTAGCAGTTACCCGCGGCTTCGCCCACTTGGTCAAGGAATAGTGATCGCGTAATTTTACTAACGATAATAAAACAGCTTCCGGTGGGAATGGGATTTTTATGGAATGAAAGGTAGCCAATGTTACTCTCCAGACTTTCACATTTATAATATTAATAAAAGTATGAATGAAATATATTCATTGGATTTATGAGTTCGAGAAAATGTGCAATGTACCTGTATACCAGATTGTTTTAGGTAGTTTATGAAGAAAAAAAAAACCGAGCATTCTTACGAAAATTAAGGAAGTTAATGTACCGTTATATTCAGGTTAAAATCTTCAAGTACGCTTGAGATATGTACACATTAGGTATATAGCTTTGTTTCATTGCAAATGTAATCTTGCATATAGAGTTAAATGGAAATGACAAAAAAGCATTTACAGTCAAATTATCAGTTATTGCTTATCAATACGACGCGTGGTTTTAAACACACCATCGAACTAAGACATTACTAAGACAGAATATTAAAATGTCATCATCGTCATCATTCTTTCCTATTACCCTCTGCTGAGGTGTAGGGCTCGAATCAAATCTTTCCATTTGCATCGGTCTTGGGCAGTCTGTTCAAGCTCCTCCCACGTCATGCCCAAGATGCCCAGCTCTTGCTCCACAGAGGGACGCCAAGTTGTTCTGGGGCGGCCTTTCTTCCTTATAATATATTAAGATGTAGGTATTTTACTTTATTTTGCTTTACTAAATGCTCATTTAGTAAAAGCGTTTCTTATGAAAATGACTTTGTGTTTTGTTAATTGCTCAATCGGTGCACGACCTCATGGTCCACATGTTATTAAGTGGTAAACAGAACACATATAGACGTCAATAATGTAAACACTGCGACTCAACTGGACACCTGAGTTCTAAGGCCTCAGTTCTATAATACCACGGTTGCTCTTCCAATCGGAACGCATTATTGTTTCGCGGCAGAAATCGGCAGAATGGTGGTACCTTTTTTTCGAGCTAACTACGAGGTTCCCGTGCCTTGGGGCGCGTGCTATGTGGGACTTCTTAACCGAAGATTTTAAAGGCCAAGACTGAAGACGTTAAAACTTCTAAATCGCCCGATGCTCTATCCCACCTGAGACAGACCAAGTTAGACAGGCGTCTACAACCAGACGCACAGCTCTTTTCAACGCCTGACT